GGGGGGGGGGGGGGGTTGGGGTTAGTGGTTAGGTGCCGCGAATTTATCATATTAATAAATTCGGACATGTTAAAGAATTTACTCATATAGTAAATTCAAAGGTGAAGCTCATGCTGGAATTTACTATATGAGTATAAATTGTTAAACACGTACGAATTTATCAATATGGCATGTAAATTCGCGGCACCTAACCCCTAACCCTAATCTAACTTTTCAGTAAACTTTTTTTTACTTTTGTTAACTATTTTTTACTTTTTTTTACTCATCGATTTCAACGACATTAGGATTGCTTTGCGTGCATTTTATAGCTACTTCTTTTTAACGTAAACTACTGCAACCGGGAAACCATATTTTTTACAGTTCTGTCTTCTGGACTTTTAATTAAGTCTGTTTTTCCTTTTTTGTCCTCTTATAATATCATGACTGTTTAATATCATGACTGTTTTGGCCTGTTTTTGAAATATTTTCAAAGCTGACGAGCTGTGTATTTTTAAAACAACAGTTCGACGGGTTGTTCGCGAAAAGTCAAAAGTAAACAAAAAAGCAGTAAGCGAAGCGTGCGACTCTTGAAAGAAATCATTCAAACGCTCGTGCGTGGTTTTATATTTTATTTAAATTTTTCATGTATTTTTAGGCCGTTTGCTGCGCCCTGATATCGTTCACTTTCATTAAGCATGTCTTGGAACTGAAATATTTTTACGGGAACTAACACTTTCAAGCACGCTGAGTTCGAATCCGAAAACCTCCCGCGCCATAAATTCGCAGCTTTCTCACAAAATGCTATTTTATCTTCGCTAATTTCACAACAAATGTTTTCATTGTTCAACGACACGGTCGATGACGCCACACGATAAAATTACTCAAAGCGACCAATTTCTATTAACCAGTCTTCCTTTTAACAAAAGACCGGTTTTGCCTGAATTATTTTGAGTTATGTAAGCTTATGCGTGTTGCACATAAACAACATATCTTGTCTACAACTTTGAGAAGGTACAGATAAGCCTTCTAAAATCCTCAGTTCTAGAATCCTCAGTTCTAAAATCACAAGGACGTTAATGCTAAGACAAGTCTAGTCTTTTGGCTACATCACTGGCCTGAAAAATAACTAATTTAACGCCGGATCAAGGTATATAAAACAAAAGTAATGCGAGACCAACTTAACGGCGAAGACAACGCTAAAGTGAAATATTGTCGATTGGTTGCTAGTAGAAGACTTACGACAGGATTAATCTTAAATAACCTTAAGGGGCTGATTACATGGACCGGGCAGCCCGGTTAACCGGGCTGAAAAATGTCACGAAAATCTTCCCTGGGCCGCAAAATGAGTTTTGAATCAGGTTTAGAATGATTTTGCATCTATCCTAAACCAATTATTTATCGCAAATTTATTTTACGCAAGTTTTAAAACCACAGTAAGGTCCTAGACAAACTAATCAGCCCGGTTAACCGGGCCAGCCCGGCACCATGTAATCAGCCCCTAAGGTTACAGAACACCTTTGAGTGTTAATTTTGCCTAAAATGTTTTTATTGGTTTCCATGAAAGCATTAGACTAGTTCTACTATCTGACCAAGTTTGGACGAAAAATGTTGAAAACTCCCAGAGTTATTTAATAAAATACATTTTGCTTCACAATCAAACAAGATAAGTCTACACTATCAGATAAAAACATATCGAGCGACTGGGAAAGCAAGGAATGGCGCAATTTACAATTCAGGTAATTGATCATAAAATATTGCATTAGTATTTGTCTTGTTGCACTCGAATTTCTGCGTTTATTTAACATGGAGTAGGATATACACTATGAGAAATAGTTTTACAAACAAATTACATAATTGCATGGTAAAACTTTGCTGCCTTTTGTTTCGGTTCAAATGCACTACGCGTGGCAATACTCGGTATTGTTTATAGTCATGAAATTGTTTTTACCCAGCCAATGACGTCAGATAATGTATTTTGAGGCATAAATTAGCATACGCGCTTATTTTCAAAATGGCGGACAACTGTTGAACTTTCTATCAAATTTTCTCAACAACTAAATGCCGACAAACCGGCCAAAATATGAAATTAAATATTGCGCAAGTATACCTAAGAGACATAAGTAATAAAAATTTTGGGTGCCAATGTCCTTTAACGAAAACTTCAAAGCAGTTTACTCGACAGCTTGTTTATAACTGCTTGTTTATAACTTGTTTTTATTTACATGGTGTTTCCACAAACAAAAACAATTATATTTTATCGCCATGCAAACATTCAAAGAACTTAGCTTGTTTATAATCTCGACGGACAAATTTTCCTGAAATCATATCTGGGTATAGCGAAAAATTATTTTCAAAAATTTTGAAACAAACTAATATACGGAAATACACAAATCAAAACACTAGGTTCAATTTTTCCCCAAGGTTAGCGCTAATCCAGCTTTTAACAAGGGACCCAAATGCGTCGTCAACCAACAGCAAAAACAGGACAGTAATATACAATCAAGAACGCTGGTTCAATTGGCCGCACAGTGTATGTGACGTAGATGTTAGCGACAGTAAAAGATACGCTGTACGTGTAGGGATAGCATTTCATTCTTATAGAAATAGTGGATATAATCCTATTAATCCATTTGTAGAAATAAGAGTTATTTATTAAAATAACAAATAAACATATTTTTATAACATTCTACAGATGCTATATATTTGTTTCAAGGGGAAAATGGTTCTCGTCGATCAAAAGCAAACGTCAAACTGCTAAGACTACATGCCTTCGTGACAGTTCAAGCATATAATTTAAATTCCACTAGAAACGTAGACTTCAAACGCCACATCTTAATTTACTGCCTTGGTGAATACGTGCATGACTATAGTGGTTAATTTGCTTTCTTAAATCATTGTTAAATACCACAAGTTTAATAATTGTTTAATATATTTCAAAAATGGTGTAAAAGCTGTTATAATAGATCGAGTTGTAAAATCAAAAACGTCATTAGCGGTTTGACGTTTGCCGTAAACGTTATGTCGTCAATCTAAAATTAATTCTCTATTCTGAATATTGTTCCTGTTATTAATCTCTTATGATTAACGGATATACTTCAGTAATCAAAAGACCAAGAATTAAGTTTCCTTTTCACTGATATCAAATACATTTCCTGTAACAGTTATTTTGATACACTTGAACAAGCGTATGAAGAACTACAAAACATGACTTGCACTATGAAAAAAAGTATTATTTGTCTTATTCGCTAATCAAGCTAATTCGCTAATTCGAGGCACTGATCAATTTCATTGGCTCACGTATGGAAAACAGGGGCCAAATTTCAACCGGAAGTAGAAACTATATATAGTGGTCTTTTCACTATAATTTTTAACTCTATTCTCATTCAACCTTGTTATTACTTCAAAAGTTATTACTACAAAAATTAAAAACCATCATTCAAAAGGCTGAACTGTGCCTTTAATAATCGACCTTCCCCT